CTTTTTTTCTCATTTTTAGCGCTATTGCATTGCTATCTCTTTATTTTATCTTCTCACCAAGTGAGCCGTGTGGCAAGTTACATAAGCACATATGGTACACTTGACAGTTATCTCGTCCGCTCTAATATAAAACAATGGCTACTTCTCCAGAAGCCATCATATCGAAATATATGCTTTATTACATATGGTAAATTGGGTTCAACAAACACAGTAAATAAAAGAATTAATCATGTTGTGAAATTTACCTAAACTCCAGAATGGAGCACACATGTTAAGTTTAATGTTTCATCTGTGCACCATGAAATTAGGACATAAGACTCTGCTTCAAGAGGCTGCCAGTAAAACTGTAGCAGCCAAATTCATCAAATATTGGATTGCAAAGAATATTTGTACATATTAATGTTGTGAAGAAATTTTGCACTTAATATCAAAAATTCATCAAATTCCACAAACAAGAAAGAAATAAAGGTTGTACCAAAAGAAACTGAAGCAACAATTTAGCGTGACAATTACAGAATAAGAATAAGTTTCGGGACTTTCACTTTTAGGTGTCTCTGCATTGTGTCTAGAAAGTGGAGCAAGCAGAAGAAATGAGTACACAGAAGAATTTCATCAGCTGAGAAAAAAATGCAACAACTTGATGACCACCAAACTGCACAAAAACTGATGAATTCTGCATCACCAGAACATTTTGACAGCAGCCCTCACAGTGACTTTATCCTTAATTCAAACTTCTCACCATTAATTTGGATGAATCCAATCATCAACAGTGACAAGGCAAAAATCAGATTTTTATCATTCATTGTACTGTTAATGAACAGATACGATGCACAGCTCAGTGCATTGCAGACTACAAGGTAAGCAAAAATGATCTTATTTGAATCATTGTGACTACAGCGAATGTAGTTTTTGGATGGATTCGTCCACTGCCAGTGACTTAAAAGAATCTGATAATACCTCGATGTCAGACTGTGCACATGTGATTTTGGGTCTGGATCAATCTGTAGGCAAAGTATTAAGAAATGCAGAACAAAAAATCGGTGTTCATAAGTTGCTGCATCTTTCGACAGGTGAAAAAGCGTTCAGTTCTCTTAGCACCAGCATTCACACTCTTGAGCAAATTGCTATTTGTATGCTTTTGTCACCAAGTCATGCGGCTAGGTCTGTCTCTCTCTACAATAAGTACAAACAAATGCTAAATGCTAAGAATTAGCTCGATGGGTTCTATGGATTTATTTCAAAAACTTTCAAACTGCTGGAAGATTGGAGGACTTGTGACACAATCTGGTATTGAAATTTTATACAAATTATTTAAAAATTAGCTCTCAACAAAATATGTTATTTGCATCTTGCTATAGTTCCTGATATCAGACAGAGAAAGATGCAGAAATTTACACTTGACAAATTCTATAAAAAATGCTCTATAAAAAACTTCTACAAAAAACGTTCTCAAGCCTGTGAATGATCTTGTTGACAACATTGATCTATTACTTAAAAGTTTTTTAACTGCTGAGTAAATATTCAATAATATATTGGGTTTGTGATGAATAAACTGTGGCTTATTCATTTCCCCTTTCAATCTCAGCGACTCCAGTTACAAATCAATTAACTCTTAACTTTTCGAATAACCTAGAATTGTAAATTTTAGCATTTTATTTGCATATAAAATAAATGATTGTTGATATGTCAGTTTTACATTATATGTTTTAAAAATGTTTTAGTTAATAAGAAATAAAATCATGTGTGTGCATTTTCCCACTAACTAATCATTGACATTGTTTAGTATAAATTAATTATGGCCTAATTATATTAAATATATAGAACAATTGCAGCATAAGTAAAAACAATGTTTTTTCTTATCAAAAACTTTCAAATACTTTGGATATTTTGAGTTTTTCAAATCATTATTTAACAGTATCATGGGTAACGGTGAAAAAAATTGTAACCGGGTTAATTTATTCAAAAAAAGCAAACAAAGTTTTTTGATTTTGCTGTAAATTTTTTACTTGCTCATACTTGCCTTGATCATTTTGACTGCTACAGCAGTGGTGGATGGATCTAAAAAATAGATTACCATAATGGCACCTGAAAAATAAATTACCAGGATGGCACCTGATAAAATTATGGATAAAAACTTGATTAAAGAAGTGGAGATAAATTGAGACAATGAAGATAACTATTCTTTAATAGATAAAATTTCCTTAACTATTATGTCAAAGCAAAACTTCTGAGGCTCTTGTGACATATCAAGATTATAATGAAAACTTTCGATATTTTTTAGAATTTCTGGATGAATTTGATCCAGTTATGGAAATAAATTTGTTGAGAGCAAAAAAAAAAGCCTTATTACAAATCTGGTAAAATATGATTAAAATGAAATCATTGGCGAATCAGATGAAGATCAAATTAGTGCAAATGTCCAAAAGTCCATGTATTTTTAAATCATTGTTGAGTGTACACCAGACATAAGTCACCAGGGGCAAATGTCAATACCGGTTTAATATGTAGATGTAAGGGATAAGAGCAAAATTCACATCAGTGAAAGTTTTCTTGGTTTTTAATTAATTTTTAAAAGCACTCTTTTTAAAAGGAATTACTTTATAACCTTTTTTTTGAAAAGTTTGGATTAATATACATCAAAAAACTTAAAGTTTATTTTATTAAGTCGCCAAAATATTTTTTTTACCCACCTTCCGAATGTTTAGCGGGTCTGGTGCAAAGACTCCCAAATACACTGTTGGACAAAAAATAAAAGTAAAAAAAAAAAAAGCAGAAAATTTAATCAGTTCTGTAACACAAAATCACTTTTGGTCATTAATAAGGAAATACTTAGGTTTTTTAGGTGATAAAATAAAACAGAAAAGCTGTATACTACACAGAAATTGAAGAAATATACTAAGAAAGTGTTCGCATTGTGGGAAAAGATTTAATAATGTGGATATTAATGTTATATATAATATATGCATTTTATGTTAATGCGGGTTAATGTTTCTAGCTGTCATATGTCTAAGCCACTGTTTGATACTTTAAAGGCTGAGCAATCAATGCATCAATCTGTGTTGATAAATGTTAACAAAATTTTCGATTCACTCACAAGTATCAAATTTGTAACTTATCAACTTGTATGACCAAACCATGCTTTATGGAAGTGTTGTTTAGTCATACAAGCGTGTTATTTTTAATTTAACAAAGAATACTGCAATGCACAAAATTGTTAAAAAAATGAAGCAATGTCACCCAGTAAATTTATAAACTAGGATTTATGGCAGTTTAAATTTACATTTTGTTAATTTTTTTCTACTTATACCTTAAAATATTACTAATTACTGTGATGTCACTATTTTCAAAATAATGGTTACATGAGTGTGTTATACCAATAATTTTTGTTATAATTGTTTTATTGCTACAACTGCCATTTTCATTTTATAGACCAAGTTATTCAAATGCTGTTTAAATAGTTGTTTGACTTAACTTATGCATTGCATGAAAATATTAAGATCTTCTATGGTATAAACTACTGTCAAAGGGCATGAAAATGTTAAAAAATGGTTTAAAAGCTTTTGTAAAGATACCTACATAGAAAAATAATAAAAATTTAAAATATTTGACAAATAAAAAGATATGAAGGTGAAGTGGTGGTAAATTTATCTAGATTACTATTGCACAAAACACACATGATTATATACAAAACACACATAAGTGACAAAACACGCATGATGAATAAGTTTTAAATACACAGTCATTCTTTACAATTCAGTAGTTTAAAACAGAAAGAACCAAAAAAGACAAGGTTGAGTAAAGATTCTGAAAGAAAAAATTATCGGCTTTGTGATATTAGAAACCATTATTGTTTTTTGTTGTTGTTTCATTATTGTGTATTGAGGAGGAATCTAATCTATTCCCTATCTTACTATGTAGGAGTTGATTGTATGTTCTATTTTTTAGATAAATCCCAGCCCTCTACTCTGTACTTGTCATTGCTTCAGTAAAGTTGTGGTCTTATTTTCTGGTAATAGTCCTTTGATCATTTCGGTAGCTTTTGTGTTTTTTCCACTCTCATTTTGTTGTAGAGTGATCCCCTATTGTTTCTTGCTTCAAACAGGTTTTTCCGCCTTATGTGAATAAAATTCCTGTGTTCTTTGTCTAAAGTTCCTTGTGTAAAGTTCCTTCTGTAAAGCTCCTTTGTGTAAAGTTTCTTGTGTAACGTTGGCAGGTGTAATGATTAATTGGATTGTTTTTAGGGTGAATTGTCTAAAACAATTGAAAATAATTTTTTTTTAATGAAGAAATAAAATGAGAAATAAAATTAAATTAAAAATTTTGAGCTGCATTTCCAAATCCCTAAATTAAAAATTTCCATTTCCAAATCCCTAAATTAAAAATTTTGAGCTGCATTTCCAAATTTTCTGAAAAAAATCTAATATCTATTTAATTATTAGATCTAATAATAGTTTCTTGGTCATAATAATAGATAAAGTAATTAATTAAAATAAATAATTTATATTCTTATATTCTATAATATTTCTATTGTTGTTTGTAAGTAGTCCAGTTTTTGATTGATTTCTCAAAATCAATTTACTTTGAATTGAGACCTTTTGAAAATTCACTTCTCCATTTTTTTTTTATTGTACATCAAGGCCATATAATGTACCGAACATAAGCTTAAAAAAGTATAAAATGCAGAAATGCTCTTTTTTAACTACTGTATATACTATTATTAATATTTATATATATTTTACTATTTTTATACATTGCTATTATATAATTATATAATTATTCGCAATGCCGACCTCACTATAGACCTGAAAGTGTTTGAGGTCGGCAAATAATTGCCGACCTCGTTTCTATGTTTTATGGTCAGACCTTTGTATTAAATAATTTTTGCCGACCTTTAAAAGATTGAGATCGACAAATTATTGCAGGCCTCCTTTTTCCTAATTCCGAAAGTTGATTATATAATTCCTTGTTTTGTTTAAACTTGTTTCTTTTTTTATGTTTAGATTAGTTTTGAAAAAATCACAACTGTTAATGGTATTGCACTTCAAGGTAGTGAAACCGGGAAAAGCTTCATAAAAAAGTTTTTTTTTAGTTATTCTCTTACAGAATATGGTGATTTTGTTAATGGCCAGGTATTGATGTTGTTGTTTTTTTTGTCGAAAAACAACTTTTTGTTTAATTTATGTTAATATATCAAATATTTTATTTTAAATGCGCACTGTTTTTTAAAGCAATAAATTCTTTTATTATAGAATAAATTATTTTATTATTTTATTAATATATAAATTTCTTTTAAATATTATTTTTGAAAAAAATATAAAAACAAAAAATGATATTTTGTTTTGATTGTAATGGCAATGGAATTATATTTATTTATTCTCTTACAAAAAATGTCAGCTTTTTTAATGGCCAGAATTTTATTAAAAAATAATGTTTTTAACCATGTATATTATTACAAAACAATTTTTAATTTAATAAATTTTTTGTAATTTATGTTAAATATTTTATTTTGATAGTGCATTGTTTTTTTAAGCATCAAATTTCTTTTTTCCTCAACTTGTTTAAAGTATAACACAAACAATATTTTGTTTTGATGCATTTAACATTGATAGTGAAACAATGAAACATAATAGTCTATACTTAAATACATATTTTTATAGTGTTTTAAAATTTAATACTATAAAATTTATAAAATTAATCTTCACTAGCAGTAAGCAACCCATAATACGTGTTATTAGTAATTAAATCATTAATAACAACAAAAACAAATTTATAACTTGATATATCATCTAAAAAATTAAATACAAATTTATCTATAAATAATATTTTAAGTTTGACTCCCTATCAGCAATGTCATTGCTGATAGAACATCAGCAATTACAAAAAGAACTTAACATTGAGTTAAGTTCTCTGTATCAACACAGCAGGTACCAGAAAAGGAAAGTCAATTAAAGGTAATAACTAAAAAAAGAAATAAAAAAAATTATAATTTTCAATTCGGAAGTTATTATTTGCATTTTATTGTTAGTAGAATTAGGATAAAAATATAACAAAATATAAATAATAAAAAAATACCCAAAACAGTTCTATCAACACATAACAGAGTAACAATAGCACATAACATAAGATATTTGTGAGCACATATTACTCTGTGTCTTCAGAATAATTAAAAAAGAAAAGATTATAAAAGGGCTATACAACACAACCTAATAACACTGAAAAATAACACCACAACTTAATAAAATATCTTGTTAAAATACTTGAACTAAAAAGATTTTATTTATTACAATATTTGAACAATCAAGAAGCAGTTAAAGTTAAACAATTTGAACAGTTAAAACGGGTGAGGCCGTAAGCTGGTGAGGAGATATTATTTACACAAAAATTAAAGCAATTTACAAAAAATTAACAATTAAAGTATTTAAAAAAAAATAAAAGCAAAATTTTTTTAAATACTTTTTTTTAAGTTAATACAGTATTTCTTTTAACAAAATTATTTTTATACCGATAGCACTCCCTTGTTGGCTATTAATCTCAATTTTTTCTTATACCTCAGTTTGTTTTCTCTCAGTTCTTAATTTTGCCTAATACCTTTTATAAGTGATTGTAAAAATGTTGCATCAATTTTTTTCAAACACGCATTTGATATGCCTAATCAATTATTGTGAACTTTTAGCCTCCCATCAACCCTCATACACATTCTGAGCCAATATTCCCCAAAAGTCTTCAATTGGCTGGGCTTTGGGGACATTGACATAAATTTGCTCTTTGTGAGACTAATTTGAGTTCAGCTGTCTCATCTTGTGTTAATGGTTATTTTCCTTTAATTCATAAAGACTCCAATTGTCACATGCTTGGCCTGGGCATTTACATTTGTAAGAATTCCCCCATTTGTCAAGAAACTAAGTTTGAATCAGCAGACCACTCTTTTATGTGCTTTCGTTTAGCACCACTTCACTCTATCTCTTTTTTCTTTGTTCTATATTGCTTTCCTTTATCTCAAGACTACACTCTTCTTGATATTATTTCTGATCATATTGACCAAGTCCTCTCTCTTTATCCATCAGCCAATATTGTTGTTGTTGTTGACTTAAATGCTCCACTCACTGAATAGCTTGGCTCTAGTGTCAGTGACTCTGCAGGCATTAAAGCCCACAATTTTTACCTTTCTCAATCCCTAACGAAAACAGTCAACTTTCCAACTCGTTTTCCGGACAACCCGAATCATTTACCTTCTCTACTCGACTTAGGAATTATAGTCAGTGCTCAGTTTCTCCACATTTACCCTTAGGTGCCTCTGATCACAGTTTAATCTCTCTAAACCTATTATCTAATTCTTCTATATCATCAGAATCCCCCTATCATCGTACATCTTACAAATACCTTCAAGCTGACGGACCTTTTCTGTGATTTTCTTCGTGATGGCCCTTGGGTAGAAATCTTTTGTCTTCCTGTTGACAAATGTGCTTCTTAATTAATTTTGTGAATTCAAGCTGGCATGGAATCCTTTAATCCCTCTCGACGATTCCAGGTTAAGCCTCATTTTATCTCTATGGTTTTCTTCACATTGTGCTGCTGCAATTGCCAATCGAAACCATTACTTCCATATCTATCAGCAAAACAATTCTTCAGAAAACAATTGTCTGTTTATTACTGCCAGAAACCATTGTAAAAAGGTTTTGTCTAACGCCAAAGCCAGCTCTTCTCAGGTCGTGAAATTTCGTATTTCATTACAATAATTAGGCTCTCGTGACTTTTGTAGAATCTTTATTAGTATCAGTTATAAGGGAAAATCTGTAATTCCACCTCTCTTGAATGGTTCAGACTTTGTCACCTCACCTAAAGACAAAGCTAAATTGTTTGCTAAGAACTTTTCATCAATATCATCTCTTGATTCCACTAGTTGCGTTCTACTTGATATAGCCGTCAAACAGGTTGACGCTCAAACATGCTTGACATTCGTATGAGCTTCTGTATCTAATATATCCAGCTTCTGTATCTAAAGCGATTTCCTGCTTAGACTCTTCTACAGCTTGTGGCCTGGACAACATAACTGTTATAGTCTTATAGTGATATAGTCATATAGTGTTATAGTCTCTGAAGTATTTTCTTGAGCTGTCGTCTATTCTTTCAAAACTATTTAACAAGTGCTTATCAAAGTCTTGTTTTCCAGCCTGCTGGAAAGCGGCATCTGTTATGCCTATTTTCAAAAATTCTGGAGAGGGATCTGATTCATCTAACTACCCTCATATTAGTCTTATTCCTATCATAAGCAAGGTTTTTGAATCTTTAATTAAGAAACGCTTAATCTCTCATCTTGAATCTAATAACTTACTTTCTGATCATCAATATGGATTTTGATCTTCTTGTTTTATGGCTGATTTGCTCACAGTAATAACCGATAGGTTTTATTGTGAGCAATCATTAGTTCAATACTCTTTTTAATTTACATTAACGATTTTCCAGATGTTCTCACATATAAGGTGGCATTCTTTGTTGATGATACTATTATTTATTCTTGTCATGAGAAGAAGCCAGCTCTCTCTGATTTCTCTGATAACTTGGATCGGAGCTTGAAAGTAATCTCACTTCTGCTACAGCATGAGGCTCACAGTGGCTAGTGAATTTTAATTCAGATAAAACTCAATTTTTTTCAGCCAATCCTTATCGCAATAATTTAGACCTTCCTATATTTATAAACGGTAATGTACTCGATGAGTCATCTACCCTTTATCTTTTAGGATTAACTTTTTCTTGGAAACCATATATCAAATCCGTTGCAAAATTAGCATCTACTAAAGTTGCATCTCTTTATTGAGCTTGACACTTTCTTAATCCGGATTCTATTTTTTATCTCTATATATTTCAAATTCAACTTTGTATGTAATACTGTTGCCATATCTTGGGCAGATCTTCTAATGATGTCCTTTCTCTTTTAGATAAGGTGCAAAAACGCATTATAAATAAAGTTGGACCTGCTCTTGCAGCCAATCTTTGAGTGTTATTATATCATTATAATGTTGCTTTTCTTTCTCTTTTCTACAAATACTTTATTGTTTTTTTACCTCTTTAAAGGCACTGCTTTAAAGAGTTAGCGTTTTTGTGCCATTTACGTTCTAAATATTATTTTATTTCTAAATATTATTTTTGTGTTTTACTTGTCATTCAATTAAGTCTTATCATTTTTCTGTGACTATTCCTAAATGCTCTAAAAACTAGCTTTTTTCCTTGAACATTAGTTCTTCCGAATTTACTTCTTTTATCTTGCTTTCCTGATTCATATAATTTGCTATTTTTAAAGTTGTCTGTCAATCGTTACCTTGTTCTGCAATCTTCATCTTTTATCTTCCAATATCTTCCAACACTAATTATTGGTTGCTTACAGCCATGTTGGAAGTGTAGATGTTTAAAAAAAAAAAAAAAAAGATATTGTTATCCTAACAACATATTTTTTAGAATTTTTTTTTTTTTGCAAAACAAACACTATCTGGACATTTGTCTTTGTTGCCCATGTATTATCCAGCGTTACCAGGCGTTTCATCACCACCGAAACAAAAGTTTTTATTGTCTAAAATTAAAACACTCTGTTCTTTATAGAGGTGATTTACCAGTTTTTCGATTCGCTGTCCATCATTTTATTTGTGTGTATCTTAGAAACACTGTTCTGTAAGGTGTCGTTTGATATAATTATATGCTGTTTTGCGACAGATTCCTACTTTAATAAAATGGTCAGCAGTTTCAACTTTGGTATCTTTTGGATTTTTTACAAAATAATTTTTGACATTCTTTTGATGAACAACTGCTCTTTCTTAGCCGTTTATCATTTTTTTTGAATAATTTTTTTAAATAAAAATAGCATATTTTAAAATACAAATTGTATTCAAATGCTAAAATATAATATTATGGATTTCAAGCAAAACTAAGTTTTGTGTAACTAATTTCTCATCTAATTTTCTCATTTTTTGCAACTTTTGTATAACTAATTTCTCTTCTAATTTTCTCCTTTTTTGTGTGTAAATAATTACTCCTCACCTGTTATCATAAAATAGCACTTAGCTTTGTTCTAAAGTGTCTTTTTTGTTTTGTTCTGAAGTAAAATCAAATTAACAGACATTAACACTGCTTGACACAG